TTTTTTTTTTTTTTTTAAAAGATGACCGGTAAGGGGATCTCAACCCTTGGCTTGGTGTTGTCAGCACCACGCTCAGCCAGTGAGCAAACCGGCCATCCCTATATGGGATCCGAACCCGTGGCCTTGGTGTTATCAGCACCGCACTCTACCGAGTGAGCCATGGGCCGGCCCGCACAGGCCGGCCCTTAATCACAGTTTGTAATCATGTTTACTTTTGTGACTATTTGATTAGTTTATTATCTCCCCCACAGGACTATAAGTTTGAGAGGTCTGGGACCAAATCATGAAGATAAACTTGACTTCCATTCCTTCCTATGTTTTTCATGTTCTCAGTGGTGCTCTAGAGAGCACCAAACATTTACTTGCTTTGGGATCCACAGTCAAACTGATACAGAGGGCTGTGCATATCACCAGATGACTGATTAAATGTCTCAGTAGCCTTTGTGCTGGAGAGAGCCCCAGTCTGCGTCACCTCCCACTCTGCTGGCCCAATAACTTTTAAGGGGACAGCTGATGTCCCTGGCCACTGTTTCTCTATGTGGATTTTAAGCTCTCCACAGTCTACTGAAAATGGTCGTGGTTTTACAAACCCTACTTCAAATCTGCACAGGTAAAGCTGCTGGGTGAATGGATGATTCTATGGCATACGCTTTCTGAAAGAAAGGCTGATGGGCTCAATAGGGAATGGTTCATGTTTTCCTCTCTACTTATACATAAGCCTGACATGCACAGCTAAACAAACTGTTAATATAGCCAACCTGAGGTGACTTAAGGAAAAGTACAAATAGCAAGAGAGAGCATTATTAAGAAGGCACCAAACAGTTAGAGATGAACAACTTAGATGTTCCCAACATTATATGCAACGGGCACAGATTCTCAAAGTTACTTCAATCTTGGAATAACACCAAATATCTTTAGGCTCTCTCAAAATAGATCAACCTTCAGACTTCAGCTGAAAGCAAACACAACAGGAGCCAGTAGTCTAATAATTATTTCTCCTTCCTGACCTCAATCACCAGAAAGGCAATCTGCTCTGTGAGGATGCAAGCCTGAGGATCAGAATCAGATCAGATTCTCTTCTTGTCTGGGCTCTCACTGGTCCATCTCAACAATTTACCTCAGCTATAAAATGAGGGCACCAACACTAATGTTCTACAGTTCTATATTATCATGCTGTTATACAGTAATGGCACCAAAACCCATGCAGGCTGTAGAGATGCTAAAATCTTTACTGCTCCTACCAACCCTAACACTCTCTCTCCAATTCTCAGTAACCAATTAAGCAGTATGTTGTAAATGTGACATATATACAGAGAAGGCAGACAAGAAGAATGGTGATCCAGAAACTATTAAATATAAGATATGACTGAGAAAAGTGAAAACAATTAGCTTGGAAAGAGAAACTGATAGTTGTTTAATTACCAAGAGATAGACTGTCACAACGATAACTTATTCTGTTTTACTTCATAGTACACCATTGACTAAATGGGTAAAAACTGCAGAGAAGCATCTGACACAACAGAAAAAATAAATTTAATAACTAACTACATCTGCAAATTTATAGAGTTTCTCTGAAATAAACTGCCTCCCTTTTCACTAGATGTCTCAGAAGCTAAGTGAGCAATTCCCCGGGTTATTTTAGAGAAAGAGCCAACAAACTTTTTCTGTAAAGGGATTCATGGGCCACATATAATTCCTTAAAAATGTAAAAACAATCCTTAGCTCACACGCCATACAAAAACAGGTAGTTTGCTGACCCTTGTTCCAGAAGAGCACTGTCTAATAGAAATATGAGTAAGATAGGTAATTAAAATTTTTCTAGTATCTATATTTAAAAAGGTAAAAAGAAACAAATGAAGTTAATTTTAATATTTTATTTAATCCAATATATCTAAAAAGTTATTTTAACATGTAAACAAAATTCCTGAGATCTTCCACATTTTTAAAAAACTAAGTCTTTGATATGTAGTGTTTATTTTATAATTATACCACATCTCAATTCAAACTAGTCACATTTCAAGTGTTCATTAGCTACACGTGGCTACTGTCTATCATACTGGACCAAGCAGTTCCAGAAAAACCTGTGCATTCCATTGAGAAATAGGGATGATCTTCCAACCAATATTTAATTATAATGATTCAAATCAATGAGGAAAAAAATGGAGTAGTCTATAAATGTACTGGGGCAATTAGCAAGCTACCTGGAGAAAATTAAGCTGGATTCTTTCTTGTGCCTTACTCCAATATAAACTCCAGACTGAAACAACATGTCAATATAAAAAGTAAAATAATAAAAGCATTTAAAAAAAAACACAGTTATCATTTTCCTATTGTCCTGCAGTGGGAAAAACCTTTTAAAGCATGTCACGAAAATTCAGAAACCATAAAGAAATTGACTGGTAAATTTACTCACATAAAAATTTATAATGTTAGTACTACAAAAAAACATTAAACAGGGCTGAAAAGTAAATGACACATGGGGGGAAATATTTGATACATAGGTCAAAGTGTTTTAAGAAACCTTAATATAAAAAGTAGCCTTTACAAAAAGACACATACCCAAAAATAAAAATGAACAAAGTATACAGTTAGCAAGATAAAAAAATCAAATAAAAAAGAGAGAGAGAGAATCAAATGGACAGTAAAGAGAAAAAGAAATGCAAAAAAAATTTTTTTTCAAAGGTGCTGTTCTAACCATTAGATTAGCAAAGACTGAAAAACAGCCATTTCCCCAAACCCTCAACAAAACTGAGTTTTGCAAATTGGGTACTATCAGTGGGAATATAATTATGTATGAACCTTCTTAGGGGCAGCTTGGCATTCTGTATAAACATGTAATCTCACTTCTAGAATCACACTCTTAGAGGTAATTACAAAAAGGCAAAAAGATGAAGGATATTAACAGAAGCATGATTTATGAGAGAAAACAACTAGAAGCAACTTAAATAACATCAATAGACTCAATTAAATAAACTAACTTTATTAAGGATAATGTAGGTTTGTTATAGAAAGATGTTAACATTGTCAGGGAGGAAATGCAGTTTATAAAACAGCATGTATAGTGTGATCCATTTGTGACCCAAATGTATATAAAATGTGAAGTTTTATATAAATGTACATATTCATAAAGAGATACCAGAAGGATATTTAGCAAAATGTATATAGTGATTATCTCTAGTAGAAGCATGACCATGTATATGCTTATCTTCATTTTCATTTTTTATAATGATTTGACACTTTTTATCCCAGAATCACTTTTTTATAATCTTCTCAGCATGATGATTTTTTTGGTAATTATCACTCTTAGAAACATCTTTTATACACGTCATTTTACAGAGTGTATTACATGCACCACAGTATGGTAAACACATTGACTAAAAAACGAACAAACAAACAAACAAAAAATACCACTACCCTGATGCACTGAATAATTAGCATCATTAGAAATATCTTTTTTTTTTTTTTTTCCATTTTGTCTTTTTTCATGTCTGGCAACGGATTGCAACCCTCAGTGTTGCGCCCGTACCGGACCGGGACCGGCAATGGGATCGCAACCCTTCGTGTCGCACCCACACCTCGCTCAGCGAGTGAGCGGGAACCGGTCTGTATGTGGGATCCGAACCCTCGGCGGGAGCGCCACCGCGCTCACAAGCGGCGCACTGTAGCAGTGCGCCACCGGGCCGGCCCAGAAATATCTTTTATACATGTATCTTTACATGCAACACAGAACAGTAGACACATTCTTTTACTAAAATAATCAGCATAATAATTTTTATTTTTTCTTTTCTTTTTTTTTTTTACAAAAAGATGACCGGTAAGGGGATCTTAACCCTTGACTTGGTGTTGTCAGCAACATGCTCTCCCAATGAGCTAACCGGCCATCCCTATAAGGGATCCGAACCCGAGGCCTTGGTGTTATCAGCACCACGCTCTCCCAAGTGAGCCAGGGGCCGGCCCTAATTTTTATCTTTTCTGATTAATGTAAGCAATTTTTTACTATAAAAATTTTCTGGAGAGAATTAACAGAATGATGCTAAAAGCAACAAATGTCCTCTATTTAGTAACTTACTTTCACAGGTTATAAAGAGAGTGAGAAGTACAAGTGACAAAGAAACCTAATAAACCAGACATAAAAGGAAGCCACCTATGTTCCCCAGCTTAAGCTATAATTTGATTCTTGTACAAGACAGAGGAAGGACAAGTTACTTTGACTCCATCTTCCCGCAGTTAGTACTGTTACACAATAATACATATCAAAAAGCTATTTTTCAGAGGTAAAAAGTATCCTTCAAACACATATACAGAAGAAAACTTTCTCTTTAACACCAGACACTCTTCTATATAAATCTAAGAACACACTAGAGTGACTATCACCAGAAAAGTTCCCTAGATTCTACAGAAATGACAAACTGTGAACAAAGTAATATATTTTCATGTCCTCATAGATTATCAAAAGAGCCTCCCAAATAAGGGAAGCTAGATCATGTGAAGAGTCTTTTGCTAGTTTGCCCTCCACTCCTAACCCAAGTGAGCTAAGTCACTTGAAGTATGGATATGGATAAAGGTAATTTCATACAATGTCATACTTCAGCCATTAGGTTTTCCAATTTTGGGGTTCTATAAGATCTATGAATCCACAGGGCTATGAAATAAAAAAACAAATTTGACCCTAAATAATGTTTTCCTTTGCCACTGCTGACATTCCTCAAAACCCTAGATCTTTTCTCTCAAAATAATGAAAAGTTAGCAGAAAGCTCACCCACAACAGCCTTGCAGGACCTCACTGTCAACAAAACAGGTGTCATGAATTACCAGTGTGTTCCAGGGCAAGAGTCTCCAAGTGGAAACAAAACACACAAAAGGATGATCAATGTTAAAATGTTTTCCTAATTGGGAAAAAAAAGTCAACAGCTATATCAAGAATTATAAGGCTGCCTTTTATTGAACTGTCATGCTACTTCTCCAACAGACAGGCAATGCAAATATTTTAAGGGCGTTACCTTTAGGAGGAAAATATGACTTGCTTTCAGCTTTGTGAGGCCAGTCTACCACGAGGGGTCCAAACCTGCGAAAGCTGGCAGTGATCTCATCTACAAAACAAAGAAGGAATCTTAGCAAAAGAGAAAAAAATATTGCAATCGGAATAGCATAAAACAAGTCTTTTTATTAAAAAAATGTTTCGAGGGCTATTTTCTAAAGCATTTTTACAGAAGTCAAACCTACTAAGTGAAATACCATTGCTGGGTGTACATTTGGTTATTCACTTTTAACCATGCAAAGTGTGTTTCTAACTATAATTCATTTCCTTTTACTGCCAATAAACTTGACTTAAAAAATTTGGGAAAAAAATCTGATATTAGCTAAGGTGATCTCTATTTCAAGTAAAAAGGAAATTCTAAAAATAGAAATGTTTTCTGTTTTCAGAAAAAAGGCAAAGGTACAGAAAATATATAAAATATAGTTTTACTTGTATGGAATCTCTAAGACTTTTAGAAATAGATATGATTATTTGATGAGGAGTAGGGGCAATAAGTAGGTAATTCTATTCAGTGTTGAGAAAATGTTAAAAGCCAATGGTCTTGTTCTCTCATACCTATATACCACATACCTTATAAAGAAAATGTATCAAAAATAATAGCTCAATAAACTTATCTTCTTCTGACTTTTGATTCAAAGCAGAACATAGCCTGGTTCCCACTCAGGTTTAGGTTGCCACTCTCTCAGCCAAAAAAAATTTGTCTTAAAGAAAATCTAATCAATAGATGAGATTGACAAAACACAAGAACAGTTTGGAGGAAAATGAGTCTCCAACTATATACAACTTTAATGTAGTAAGTCTAAAAAAACTATTTTTAGAGATCTTTCTTCTCTCATCATGAAAAAAAAAAAAGATGATAAATTAGAGAAGTGTCATAACTAGAATAACGCTGGCAAAACAAGTCTGTTTTAATAATATTTTTATAGCAGATCCGAAGCCTATTGGAATTAAGAGTTGATGTTTTTTCCCTTAAGTAAACTTTGTCATAATTTCATTTCTTTCATCTACTCAACAAATATTTATTCACAACCTACTATGTGTTAAAATGAATACTTCCACTGGCTTTAGGCATCAGCGCTCACTTTTGGACTGGTAGTATGTCCAAAATATTATTAAAGAAAAATTCTAACTCATCTTCATTCTTTTAAAGAGGGGGATTATGCTTTTCGTTAATAGGTATTTATATTAAAACGTGAGATGGTATGGTGTGATGAACATGAGCAAAAGCTCTGGAATCAGACTGACTTTGAGTTCTAACTGAACCAATTAGCTATATAAGTCTGGACGAATTATTTCTCTCTGATCCTGTTTCCTCACCTATAAAATGGAAATGGCAGGATATACCTTATGAAATAGCTATGAGGATTAAATGAGATAATGTAATGTGAAGTGCTTAGCATAATAATGAACTTACAGTAAGAGTTTCATAAGTTTTAGCTCTCATTATTATTTTAAAATTTACCCCAAATTAATAATTAGGAAACAGAAAGATGTTGGAAGAATGCTACATTGCCACAAATGAATGACAGACCTGAAGTGTATAATCCACTACTTCCTCATCTATCAAATATCATCACCTCCTACACTCTAAGATATAAATGTCCTAAAGCTGACTTAAGAGGAGAGGCAGGGTCAGACCACACAAAGAACAAACCTAGCCTTTGTAAAGTCATTAATTAATGCATAGTACCTTCATCAATATCAGGAGGAAGGCCTCCAACAAACACCTTTCTAGAGTAGCGTTCCACTCGTTCCCCGTTTTGACAGCGTGTGGGAGAACTTAAGCCAGATGACAAGGCCTGATCACCGTGGCTGTCGTCCAGGAAGGCATCTTCAAAGGGAAAGAGAGAAGACCGACCTGAAACAAATGTGGGAGTTTCTATAATTATAATGATTTTCCTGGACAATAAATGCTTTATTAGAAGCCCAAAGTGCAGAGTGAAACATACAAAAAAATGTGTCCTGAGCAGTGGCTTTTATAGTAGAATAAGCAATTGAAGATTAACAGTTCTAGACAAATTTATACCATCATCTTTGTGAAAGGGAATGGCCAACACTGAGATGACTGGATGGATATCTGAGGAAGAAGCATCAAAATTGTAGCTGAGCTATTTTCCTTGCAAAAAAAACTTTACATTTTTATCCATACAGTCCTTATCATGGCTGATAAGAGTATATCCAACAGTTTTTTTTCCTTTCTTCAGTCATTTCTTAAAATAATTGGAAAAAGTAATCTCCATTTACAGGTTTTTATCTGCTCTTTATGGAGACCTCAGAGGTTCAGTTCTAAAGACTGGCAGCTGATTACAGAGGCTAACTTCTCTTCCGATAGCAGAACTAAAGATCATCAAGTTTTCCCTGTCATCCCAAGCTACTCCAATTTGGAAAAAAACATCAGCAATAATAAGGGTGAGGCAAGTAAATGAAAACACATAAATTAAGATGTAAGAGTATAAATGTAGATGTGGTTATAACATCTTAACCCTGTAATCTAGGCTTTTTTTTAAATTGATACATATTGATTGTACATATTTATGGTGTACAGAGTGTTATTTCAATACATTTATACAGTGCATGACGATCAAATCAGGGTAATTAGCATATTTATCATTGCAAAAATTTATCATTTCTTTGTGATGAGAGCATTTGAGCTCCTCTCCTCTAGCCATTTGAGAACATACAATAAATTATTATTAATTATAGATGCTTCGCATTACTGTAGATCACTCGAACTTCTTTTTCCTATCTAGATGTGATTTTGTATCCATTAATCAACTTCTCCCTACCTCCCCTCCCCTCTCCCATAGGCTGTATTTTACATCACTCAAAAAACATATGAAAAGGAATGAAAAAGAATTATTTTCATTGTTAACTCTATAGCCAAATTAAGTTTGCAGAGGAAAGGTACCTACTCACTCCACATGACTATAAGAAAGATATCAGCAGTTAGACTCTATTAATAAATACAACACAATAATGCCATTTGGCATTACAAAACAAAATCTAAGTTTAAAAACAAACATATTTCCTTTGAGTCAGTAAATTCCTGATAAAACTTTCCACTAGGTTCCACTCTAAACATGAACTGTCTTGAGCCCTCTAATTTTTAAGGGAAAAAAAGAGAAATTCCCCCCTAAAATAAATTGATATACTCTTTATTTTATTTTTATTTATTTATTTATTTATTTATTTTTGTCTTTTTGTCTTTTTTTCGTGACCGGCAACGGGATCGCAACCCTCGGTGTTGCCCCCGCTCGAGCGGCCGGTCTATATGTGGGATCCGAACCCTCGGCGGGAGCGCCGCCGCACTTCCCAAGTGGCGCACTGTAGCAGTGCGCCACCGGGCCGGCCCCGATATACTCTTTAAAAAATGTGTCTTCTGGGCCAGCCCGTGGCTCACTCGGGAGAGTACGGTGCCGATAACACCAAGGCCACGGGTTCGGATCCCATATAGGGATGGCCGGTTGGCTCACTGGGTGAGCGTGGTGCTGACAACACCAAGTCAAGGGTTAAGATCCCCTTACTGGTCATCTTTAAAAAAAAAAAAAAAAGTGTCTTCCCCATTTAGTCTATCCTTTCTATATTTCCTTAAAACCTAGGTCATGTGTCACAACAGCCAACTCTCTAAAACAAAATATAAATAGCCTTAGACAAACAGTGAATACTTATTTCCTTTATAAAAAAAAATAGTTACTAATATAACTCTGTTTATTTTATGAACAACCCAGGTGGTATAAGAAAGGCACTTTTTTGATGTTGGGAGTTAAACAAAAGGACCACAGAATTTTTTGTTCAGCTTTTCCCAGCTTAGCTACAAACAGAACAAAATTTGTCACCTTATGCCACCTATCTTTTTTAGCCTGGCAGAAACAAACAATAGACAGTAAATTCTCATTCCCTTGATGTTTGTTTTGATTATTGTGCATAAAAGAAATAGATCTGCAGCCATTACGGGCAAAATGAGCTTCTCAAAGACACGCAGAGACGTTCTCCCACAGCTGACAAGTTAGCTTTTTTTAGTTCATACTCAGTGAATTACATGCCTACTCAGTGTCAGGCAGAAACCCAAATCAGCATTTCCCATAGAATGTTCCTATCCCCACCTCATACCTTCAACCCTAGTAACATGAGATGCTCAGAAAACAAAAGCTGGTGGAGGGGAGAGGGAAACTAAATAATTTGAGAAAATACTGCATACTTCACCCCCTTCCCAGAGATTCCAATCCACATTAGAAAATGAAAGGCCATGAAAAGTTCTGCAGAAAAGAAACATTAACTTAGTCTAGCATTATCGAGATTTAAGATAAAGAAATCCTTTAATGTATAAAAGTTAATGGAAAACACTTGAGAAATATTTATCCATATTCCAGGAACACCAGACAAACAAGATACTTCCCCACCAAAGGAGTCACAGTGTCGTGGAAGAGATAGGCAAGTACATAAATAATTACAAAGTGGGGAGATAAATATTGAAGGGAAGACTTTATCAAGTGACACAAGAGCACAATTTATTGCCCTCCTGGAGATGGGGGTTGGGAGTGGGAAGACCTTTAGAGTGATTTCATAGGAGAGTGATTTTGAGCAGAATCTTGTGGGAGTGGGAGTTTCCGAGGTAAAGAACAAGAATCCGCAGAGAAAGTATTTTCAAGATGGCTCTTGATCTTTCCCTCCAAACCTGCTTTTTCTCTAGCATTCCATAAAATCTCCACAAAAACAACTATTATCCATACCCGATTCAATCCAGAAATCCTTGACATTTCCCTCTCTCTTATATTCCATGTCAAATCCATCTCTCACTAAGTCCTGCCAATTCAAGCTCCAAAATAAATCTTCCATTCAATTATCTTCACCTCCAGTCCGAACACCTGGGTCCAGACCACTATTATCTCTCCGTCAGACTAACAGTCTGATGAATACATACAAGTCTATTTAGTCTACTGACTTCCACCTTGTACCCCACAGTGCTTTCTCCACAAAACAGCCAAACTCGTCATTTTCAAACATTAATCTGAACATGTAACCACACTCCTCATATCCATCCTTAAAAGCCCTCAATGACTTCTCATGGCTTTTAGATAAAGTACAAAAACATCACGGTGAACTGCAAGGCCTCTGCGCACCTCTTCTATATATCATAGTTGTTGCCTCTCTCTCTTGCTCACTGACCTCCAATCACACAGACCTATGTATTTCCTGATTATTCCTCCTTCCCACAGACCCTAAGCACGCGCTGTTCCTTCTACCTAAAACAAACACCCTCTTCTCAACTCCCCAACTTCCTAGTTAATTCCTATTTATTCTTCAGGTCTCAGCTGAAAAGTCTTTTCCTGAAGTGGAACCCTGCTGAACCTTTAAATTAGGTTAGGTCCTCTCTTATATCCACGTAGGGCACCCTGTACTCCTCCCTTCTAACACTTTCCCCAATTACCATTATGCCATTTGTGTGGGTTTTTACTGGGTATCTCTTTCCCCAACCCCATTAAATTGTAAGCTGCATTAGGACAGGGACCAATTTAATCTCACGCACCACTGTATCTTCCTGCCCTAATTAGGGCACAGAAAAGGCACTCAACAAATGTTAAATGCGAGGCAGCATCCAGGGAAGGAAGAGTATGTGCAAAGACATGCTGCTGCAAATATATGCCGGAAAGCAACACACAGGTGTGAGAATGGCAAGAGATGCAACCATGTCCTACAAAATTGAGACCTTTCCTATTGTTTTTATTTGTTCAAGCATTATCTTCTGTAGTCTATATTACAAAAGCAATAGGACATTTTCCCACTTTCAAAATTTAATATTTCATTCTAATACTAGCTTTTTTTGAATTATACTCACTCCTTGGAGAGTATGATACCCTCATCTAATCCATCTTCCATCCTGTCAGAATGACTTCTCTAAGATACCTCTGACCGTGTTATTCCCCTACCCAAAATCCTACAATAGCCTGTATTACCTCCATTAGCAATTTAAACCCAGGGAGAGGGGGGATGGGATAAGAGTCTGAAGAAATCTGTGACTGTCCTAAAGAGAAATGAGGAAATCTAGAACCAGAGCAGTGAAGGAGGAGAAGCTGGAACAAAGAGAACTTTCTTTGTGCATGGCCAACATAGCCCCAACTTCTCCAGAGTTTTTTGGCAAAGAAAATAAAAGCCAGGGTTGTAAAAATTTGGGCAGTTTTATAAATTAGTTATGATTAGTTAAGAAACTTCCCAAGGTTTTAAAACCAAACCTATTATAATTAGTATTTAGAGTACCACAGATTTTGGCAATGAAGTTGCCCTTGGAAATGAAACTGCTAATAATTAACACATAAATGATGTTTCTCTAACTGTGGGTAAGAACTAAGAATATAGGTCTCTGAGCCCAATCCCCAGATCAACTAATCGGAATCTATGGAAGTCAGGCCTGAAAATATGCACTTTTCACAAATGTCCTCCATGACTCCTATGCTCAAATTTAAGAGCCACTGAAATAGAGATTATCTGTCTGCAGCAAGCAGCCACAGAAAGAGATACTTTATGTAAAGTATATGGAGACTTGGGAAACATCCAAGTTCCATCAAGTTAAAGAAGGTATATATCCTCAGGACTGGAAGATAAAAATCTATAATCTAATCAACTGTATTGTAACATGACTGCCTAAAGTGCTTGTGGAACAAAAAGTTAGTATGCAGGAAGCATGTAAAAGACAACCGTAGAATAAGAACTTTTAGCATTTACTCAGTACAGACCAACAGAAGATAGGAGGACTTTATCATACTAGGTAGAATTACTCCTCTGTGGGACAGAATGATTCACCTGATGTTTCCATAGCCTGAAAAGCATCTATTTCCCTCTGCTCTAATTATACATTCCTGA